ATTCATAGCTTGCATTGCCAAGTCAGCTGTAATTCTGATGGGTTTTCCTTTATATGTGACTGCTTGATTTTCTCTTGCAGCTTTTAATATTCTCTGTCTTTACTATGCCATGGGGAGTTTCTCTTCTGGTCCTGTCTATTTGGTGATCTGTGTATTTCCTGTGTCTGTATGGGTATGTCTTTCCTTAATTTAGGGAAATTTTCTTCTACAATCCTGTTGAAGATCTGGTCAATACCATCTTCCTGGGATTCTTCTTCCTCTATACCTATGATGCTTACATTTGGATTTTCATGGTGTTATATTCTTGTGTTTCTTAATTTTCATATTCTCTGCTTGACTAGTCCAGTTCTTCAAGTTTATCAACTAGTCTTGATATTCTGTTTTCCATTTCATTCATTCTGTTGGGGAGACTTTCTCATGTTCTTTCAAACATGGTTGTTGAGTTTTTCAATTCCTTCTTCATATCAGGCTGAGTTTTTCTTTAATATTTCCATCTCTTCCATGAGTTCTGTCAGAAATATATCCCTAGATCTTGTTGTTCTTTGAGTCGCTTGTTTGTATTCTTTAAATTCATTGAATTCTTTGATTGTGTTTATGATTATTCTTTAAATCCTGTGTCCTGGGTTCCCTCCAGGGAGTTCTCATTGAAATTGTAGAACTCTTCTATAGGCCTGGTGGTGTTTAGTAGAGACATACTCTTTTGGGTTTTATATAATTATTTTTTCACTGGGGTTTTGGCATATGGATTTCTTTATTCTCTTTTTCTTTTCTTTTTTTTGTGATTCTGGTATGACCCAAGCCTTCTTTGAGTTGAGGTTTGATACTGTTTATATTATTCTCTTAATGCAGCTTGGATGTTTCAGATTGGGTTTGAAAAGTTAGTTGATCTAGGCTTCAGGTTCTCTAATTTTTTTATATTGGAGAGACCAAATGGATCCAGGCAGGCTGCTCAGGAGCTCTCCAGGACAGTGATGAAGCCCTGGATAGTTAGGTATACTTAGTAGCCTCAGAGGAATAGGGCCAAGGTACAGGAAGCAGAGATGGGACAAAGATGTATAGGCCCTTACTACTCAGCAGGGGAATCTAAGCACTGGAGCAGTGGGCGGAACTGCAGATGATGCCTAAACAGGAGGCTGAGTTTGGCAGGATTTGGGTGGCTCAGACCTGGAGGCTGAGATAGGTACTCTCACACAGAGGGACAGGCATGCAAGAAGAGGTGAGGGGACAAGGACGTCCAGGCCCCTACATTTCCAAATCTCAGGTAGTGAGCACCTCACATAAAATCTCCCAAGTCTTCAAACACAGAACAAAGATTTACCCTGCTAAGAATTCTATGTTTCTTCTTTAAATATTCTTATCCTATGTGTTCTAGAATTTTGCTAGGCCCAGAAAACTCTTAGTCCATGAGTTAGAAGACTGTCTTCCAATGGTTCATAAAAGTGAGACCCTTAGCCCCAGTACTCCAATCTGAAAAGGAGAATGCTTTCACTTCCTCACATAATCATACTGTGCACATACCAGGTAGGATTATTTTACATCTACAGCATAGCAGTGTGGGATATGCAATATTTCTCTTACCCCACTCCCACTTTCCAAGAAGTTTGTGTTATCAATTGCTCAAGTTATGACTTTGATCTTGCCAAATAAGTATAAATGTCCAACATTTTTGATAGTTCAAAATATCAGACATTCTTTCCCAAAACAACAAAATAGCTTTGGTACAATAGAGAAAACAGTTGCTGGATCTGCATTCATCTGGGTCACTGTGTTTATTCATATGTCAGAGCAATGCTATTATTTACACCAAATATAAATCCACAATCATCCTTAGGCTGGATGTTGGAGATATTTAAGTAGTGTTCAGCTCCAGAGCTGGAGTCTGAGACATGAACAAGATCCCATGCCTCTTTCTACAGCTTCTAAATCTTTTAAGCTGCTTGACATAAAAAGGATCTTTTCTGGCAGCTGCTTGTGCCATGCAATGGAATAGGAAAGAATAGGTACCGTTTTAGAGTGAAATTGGATGTGGCTTCCAGTGAGGCAGAGGAGGGCAAAGGAAGCAGAGGTTGGGGGATGTACATTGAAAGTATAGAAACTCATGATTCCCTGGTACAAGGAGAAGAGGAAACGGTATTTCTGGCATATTCTGGTTGTGGCATTGATTCTAGGAGCTGAGAATAAGAGTGCTCTGGACTTTCCTGATGTGTGAAATGAGAAGAGAAATAGAATGGAAGCTGTGCTCTGTTGCAGGCACTCCAGAGCTCTGTGGAGGCTTATAGGTTGTGGGTTTCTCTAGCCTCCATGAATCTCCGAAGGACTACAGGAGCACTGTCCTGCAAGTTGCACATTGCCCTGATGAAAAAAGTTCTATATTCATCTGAATCACCAAATTTAAATAAAGATAAGAAATGAGAATAAATTAAATGGTTCCAGACCTATATGTACCATCACTGTGGTATCTTGGAGCAGTCAACAGTTTAAGGGAGTGGAGTTATTTTCATGAAATTTTGTGGAATAAGCTGTTTATATGCCACAATTCAGTAAATTTTTCCAAAGTCATGTAATGGTTTAAGATTCTTTAAAGGGTTTGTATTGATTTAGCAAGTTTCCAAAGTATAGTAGCACCGTAGACTCAATAGTTAACATATTGAAATACATATTTATTTATTTGGGGGAAGCTAATTTTATCTCTTTAGTTTGTAGTTTTCTGCATGGCTATGGATCTCTTTCTAGATTTTTCTCCTGAGTACTGTTCATTTTGGTAATATTATAAGTAGAATGTTTTGCCTTTGTATTTTCTCATTCCTCTGTTTAGTAGGACTCTAAATGAGACCAGGCAACTTTTTATTAAAAAGAATAAATGAATATAGGTACAAGTTTGTAAAAACTTTAGTGTATTTATCCCCAAGTCTGTGTTACCTGTTCAAATGTTCTTCAAATGTTCCCCCAAAATTTGAGTTCATGGAAATACCACATAACCAGAATTCCTTCTTCCCTCTGCATGACATCCAGAAAGAGTTTCATTCAAGGCAGGAAGCTTACCAAATAAGCTGTGATCCTTCAGTGACTGCTCTCTGCTTTCTGAATAATCTCATACTGGCCCATGGGAGGGCTTGACTCTGCATATCCCACAGCCCATGTTTTCATAGACCTGTTTCTGACTTTTTTGTCCACAGACACCCTGAACTCCTATCCTTTCAGAATCTTAATGGACATCTTGGAGGACTGCACATCATTTGTGGTCTTAGTGAAAGTTTCCCTTTCAGAAACCTGAACTGTTATGTGGCTGGCTCACACCTCCTTTGTGATAACTATTGTCTTTTTGTACACATTTGATGGTGAGATGCTTATATGCTCATTTTGAAAACTATAAAAACCTGTAGAGAAAGCACAGTAAATCCTCATCTTCTTTAATTTCCCATCCTTCCTTATGCCTAATCTCTATAACTTAATACTGATAAACCCCAAATGTAAACACCATTAGTGATATCCATGTTCTTGTACATTAAAACAATTTATTTTGCCTGTTTTATACTTAAATAATTTTATATTATACTTTCACCAAGTAACTCTACTTCACTTTGCTATAAGAATTTTTTTTCATTTTTTCTTCTTCTGGGAATTGAATTCAAAGGCCTCAAATAAGCTAACCACAAGCTATAGCTCTTTACTATGCTACCATCCCTACTATGCTGACAGATAGTAAGTAAATGCAGGCTTTGATTAAGGGACATTTTAAAAATATTTTAGTTTATTTTTATTTTATGTGTACAAATGTATTGCCTGCACGTATGTGAGTGCACCTGTATCTTGCAATGCCGTGGATGTCAGAAGAGAGCTTCGGACTCTCCTGGAACTGGAGTCAAGGATGGTTCACAGCCATCATGTTGGCATTGGGAATCGAACCTGGGTCTTCTGCAAGAGCTCTTAACCACTGAGCCATCATCTTCAGCAAATGCAGACCATTTGTCAGGCATGAGGTTCAGAGCTGTAATACCAGATAGCAAGAAGACAGACACAGATGGATCGCATGTTCTCACAAACCAGGGATGCCTAGCAAGACCTTGTCATGAAAAAAACATTCAGACTTTGAAACGCATTAGCAGTCTGATTTGTGATTATTTCCTTCTTCTAAATTTATAGTGAAGAATCATAATTTTTGTAAGCACAGATCTCAAAAACATATCATTTTCTTCACGAACTCTCCTACTGTGCATCTTTGAAGGTTCTAGAGCTAGGGTGTTTGATATTATTAATGCCAGTGACTATACCTGGAATTTTATTTAATTGATCATTTTTCAAGCTCATGGGTGAAACAATAACATAAATCCACACATATAGGAATTGCTTGGTCTCTGATCACGGATATATCCTTCTGTATTCAACATGTTACAACTTCTGTCTCTTCCATGAGGTTTCCTTCCACAGTATGAGGTGGCTCAGGATTCCCTCCTCCTTTTATTCTACATGAACTAATAGAAACAGGTGATCATCTTTTCATATCTCCCATCACAGACTCCTCTTTCCACACGGAAACACAGTAGCAAGTGAAATCCATGATGACCATTTAATGACATATAACCATGTGATAAGGGTTTGAAGTTTGGAATCTCCATGGAAATATGCAATGTTCTGCACTGTGTGGTACATTTGCAGATGATTAATATGGAAAAAATGGGAGAAGACAAGGTAGGAATTGCACTATGAAGTACCATGTGATGAGAACTGTAACCTCTACATTATACTCCAGGACAGTGGGGTCTGAAAATAACGCAAGAGTTTATATATAAACTCGGATGTTTCAAAAATTTCTGAGAAAACATTGGCACAGAAGGAAATATTCAATGTGAATTTGTGTACCTAACATCTGAGAAAAAAGAAAAATCAGGCAAGGTCAGAAAGCTCTTTAGAACCATTGGACAAGACAACAGGGAAGTACATAGGGTGGGCAGATCAACCAGGTTTCTGTCTCACTTCTCCTCTGCCTGGGTCTCTGTGGGTTACACGAAGCTGCCGCCACTGCTATGGGCTGCCCCACAGTAGTAGTCGTTCTCATCCTCCTCCTGGACGTTTTGGATGTTCAGGTACCGATCCAGCCCAGAGCCTGAGCCCGAGTATCGATCAGGGATCCAGTCTCCCTTGGATCCTATAATGCCATTAGGGCCTACTAGGAACACAAACCGGGGGCTTTTCCCAGGGCTCTGCTGGTACCAGCCCACAGCATAATTACTGTAGCCACTGCTCAGGGTGCAGGTAAGTTGGACTGATTTTCCCAGAGAGGACGATGCCGATGGTGGCTGAGTCAACACAGGCTGAGCGAGGGAACCTGGAAACAGATATCCATTAAGGATCTGGTAGAGAGGCAGGTGAATAATTTTTAAAGAAAACACGGGTGTAAAAATGTAGGGACAGGACAATAGTGGTCTTTCTGAGGTCCTGACCACTGCCCACCTGAGAAAAGAGTGAGAACGATGAAGAGACAACTCCAGGCCATGGTGGAGGTGACCAGTGCCGTCTTTCAGACCCTGGATCCCTCAGCCTGGGTCCTGGCTGGACCTAACCTCCCATGCAAATCTGCCCACCTCGAAATCTAGTATTTCATAAAGTGCAGGATTCAAAGAGAAAACAGTCATTTTTGTTTTTATACTTTGACTCCCCCTTGTGGCCAGACATGAACTTTGACCTTCCGAACTCAAAAGCCAGTCTTGGTGTCACACTCACAACCTGATAGTCAAACCCAGAGTAGTGTCCTGAAAACACTCAACAAATCCTCACAATGTGTTTTCTCTCTGGAGTCCCTCCATGGAATGCTGTAGCTCTCTGTAACACCTCTGGTCTGTCAACTAAAGTTGGACATGTCCAATGATCATTCAACTAAGGTGATGTGCCCACCTCAACCCAGTGCCTCATACATGACTCTGGCGAGAGAACAGAAACAGAAACAGATTCCCCACACACTTCCCATGGATGGTTTGTTTGTCCTTCAAAGGAGATGCCCTTCACAAATTCATCATGTGCTCAAGTCTCCCTTGAGGCCTAGGACTGCTTTCCAGAGAGACATCTGTCAGCTCAGCTATGGGAAATATGAGCAAAGATTTCCCAGAGGGAATTTGATTTGCAGCTGTTCTGCTAGGAGGTGGAACTAAGAAAAAAAAATGAGAGCATCAGAAAAAAATTTTTAATTAAAGTATTTTATTTCTTAGTTTTATTTTATGTGTATGAGTGTACTGCCTGCATGTAAGTGAGTGCACCCATGTGGTGCAATGCTGCAGAGGTCAGAAGAGGGCTTCGGATTCCCCTGGAACTGGACTTAAGGATGGTTTGCAGCTGCCATGTGGGTGCTGGTAATCAAACCCAGGTTCTTTGCAAGAGCATTCAGTGCTCTTAACCACTGAGCCATCTCTCCAGCCCCAAGCATCAGAAAGTTTAAGAAGCAGCCTCCCTTTTCTTCTTTTCAGTTCCTTTATCAATGTTAGTTTTCTCTCACTGTTCCTTTATACCAAAGTCTCCGTGATGAATGTATTGTATTTAAAGAAGGAACAATTAACTGTTAAACGATATAATTCTATCTTGTACTTCTTTTGGTCCTGACATTTGCCTTTTCTTCAGATTCATATGTAGTAAAGTCATAGTTGAAATATACATTTATATAAATAAAAATAAATAACAAAACCACATTAAGGTACATCGTACCATACTGAGTAGAACACCATCTCTTTCCTCCCACTTACCTCTGGGTCCACTGGGCATGGGTACTCTTTCATCTGGCCCTATTTATTCATTGTAAATGATCTAACTTAGGAGACACTGGTATGGAGGATCCTGGCAGAAGCTCTAACTCTCCACTCACTGTACAAGGCCAGTACATTTGCACTGAGGGCTTCTCAGGTGGTGGGTGTGAGGCCCTGCTGTGTGCAGTGGGTACCACCAATGGCTCACCAACTTGCTGATCTATGCCCAGCTCTACTTACTTAGAGCATTGTGTGTAGCATTAACTGCAAGATGGCTCCCCCATTGGGATACCAGGAAAGGCATGCAGCCACCCCAACTATGAAATATCATATCACCTGCTGAAGCATGCACTGCCAAGCTGTGTGGGGACTGTGTGCTATGGGACCAGATGGTGACAAGGCCCATCACCGTCTTCGCCTTCTGTGCTGGCATGGGCATTCTCAAGAGAAAAGATGCCATATTTTGGAACCAAAAGTACAAACTTTGGAATAGATATGAGTTCTGCATGTAGCCTAGCAATCCAAATGTGCTCCTGTTCACTGGAGGACAGCTCCCATGGTGCAATGGTTTCCTCTTTGCTTCCTGTTTATGCTTTCTACAGCAGAGTGATGACACACTGAAGTCTGTGTTCATCTTCCTTCCTAACCATGAGGCTGGCACAGCTGAAAGGCCCTCAGAGAGAAGACCAACAAGTGAGAAGTGAAGTTATTCACAGCTCTCTTCCATGATTAATTTTGATTTCTGCACTGCACTAGGTAATAGCAGAAGAGAGACTGGCTTACCAGTCACAGTTTACATTTTGAATAATTACTATTCTGTAATTCACTTGTTGTTGTTGTTGTTGTTGTTATTGTTACTTTTTTTTTTTTTGGTCTTTTTCGGCAGATTCTCCCTGTAGCCCTCAGCTGGCTCACAGAAATTGGCCTGTCTCTGCCTCTCAAGTGCTGGGATTAAAGCCGTGTGTGCACCACCACACCCCACTAATTCACTTTTTTAAAAATTCATAATTGTTTTATATTTGATATAAAACTTTTTCATCAATTTTTAAGAATAAATTTGGGAGCATTTATGGATGTTGTATGAATTGTCCTCTGCCTGGCAAACTAAACTGACAAGCTATAGCCACTCCTCTTTCCCAACTCGGTTGCACCTGCTCCTCTAGGATCATAAACTTGACCGTTGACCTGCAAGAAAAGGGGGGGGAGTCGGTCACCCCTTCTACCCAATCAGTAGGTCTTAGCTGCATGAGAGGGAGAGACTAAGGCTAGGGACAGGGGAAGCCAGGAGAAGGGGGTAGCCTTGACCATCTTGGAGGTCAGGGGTGTCCCAGCTGCAATGTAAGAAGGAAGTTCACATGTTCCCACACCTTTGTAAGTAAGACCCACCCTCTGATCTGTTAGTAAGCCCAATAAATTCTTTGGTTCCTTAAACTGTAATTTGGAGGAACATTATCTCGGTTTGCAGTATGGAAGGTGGGAGGAGGCAGCTGGAAGCCATGGGCAACTCCCAGAAGTAAAATTTAACTACAATGGAACACTCCCATTATTTTCATATCTGTTCAGTACAGTGACTTTATGAGTAAAATAACTGTCTGTTTTACAGGAAATATTTGCAGTAGGAAATTTACACATATACTTTGGGAAAATTCAGTTGTTTCCTGATTTTTGTTGATGTTGCTTGGACCAAAACAAGAAGCATTAATGAATAAAAGATATCAATACTGAAAGTCATTATTTAAAAAGGAAAGCATTTTCATATTCTAGTAGTTCATAAATATTATATATTTTAATTTAATGTATTTGAGGCAATTTTGCTCTTTCTGTTTCCCTTAACACTAAACCTAAAGATTAAAAAATTAAATGAACTGAGCTAGTGTGCTTATAAACCCTGATGTCATCATCTGGCTATAATTCAGAACAGAGCAGCACTGAGACATGTAGGGAAGATGCCTGGATTGTTCTAGGTTTGGGTATGGAGTAAATTCCTCTGTAAGGAGCAGACAGGAAGGTGCACAAAGACCCTGAAGGTCAGGCAGGTTGCACTGACTGTCACAGCCCTAGAAATCTTTCATTATGTACAGTGAAAACTAAGTAATATTATGCCCTGGCTCAGAAAGGAAAGTCCACAGAAATCGGGTGAATGTATCACTACCATGTGAAGGACTGTGTTAGAGGGCTTCAGACAAGGCCTGTGTGGTAAATAAGAAGGAAAAAGGAAAGAATGGAAAGATGACTCAGCATTTGCTGCTCTTGCACAGGACGGATTTAGTTCGAGTACCCACATAGAGAATCACAACCGTCTCTAATTCTATTTCAAGAGGTCCAACATGCTTTTCTGTCCTCGGGGTACCAGGCATGCACATGGTGGACTTACACACATGAAGGAAATTATTCACATGCATAACACTAAATAGTCTTTAAAAGTATGGAAGAAACAATCCTCCCCAAGAGATCTAAGATTTCAGCCCAGACCCACATGCTGCCTTGGACTTATTTCTCAGGATCTCTCAAGGTCTTGACCTCAGGTGCTTACTGTGCCTTGGTGAAAGGAAAAGCTGTTGATTCACACAAATCAGACCCAAAGGTCAAAGAAACACCTGGTCAGATTTACCTCAGAAATTCTGTCACTTCTCAGCATTAAATTCAGCATTCATTACTGAAGTGGGCTAAGTTTGTTGCAACAAAATACTTGACAAAAAGTTATGGCAGAGAAGATATGGTGTGACAGAAGCAAGGGGCTAACAGGACACAGTACACTGGTAGTGTGAAGAAGTTCTTTTAAAAATTGCATCTTAAAGGTGAACCTTCTGCAAAGCCTGATCAAACAATTAGAACTTCAGTGATGGTGGAGAGTTTGGAATGTTGTAGTTCAAAGCATGATTACAGTTTATCTTGGGCTATCCAAAGCCCCCAAAATAGACACTACTTGTTCACCCGTTGGTTTTTTTTTTTTTCTGAATTAGCATCCTGTGACTATGAGATTAAAACCTTTTGGAATGCATTAATTCAGCAGGCTACCACCTTCCACTTACAAAAATGGCTAAATGCCATCAGATAGCATCTGAGGCCAATCACTCAGATTTCTCCTTTGCTATAACCAATTAGCTTGTGTTTTTACCAAGATATTTGTCGAGTATCTTGATTTATGACTTTTCTTTGTTCTGTTGCTCTAAAAACTTCATGAAACTGTTACCACATTGTAATACAGAACTTGTGATAACTTGACTCTGTGTACTTGGGCCATGGTCACTCATATTTTCTTCCAGAATAAACTGTCTTATCTTCTTCGATGTGTGATGTGTTTTTGCATTGACTGTAGTCAGGATGCAGAGAGAGAACAGAAAGTGGGCTAAGTTATAAAACATAAAGCCTAATGTGGCTAGTGACCCACTCCCTTCTGTGTTTCCATCTCTGGTAGGATTCACATGCTTTATATATAGCACCACCTGCTGGGGAGAGATATATTCAAAGCATGAGCCTATGGAGCCATTTTACCTTCAAACCGCAACTCTTGATACAACCACTGAGCCATTGTTGCAAGGTCCTAGCTATCAGAGTGACTTCTCATTTGTCTTATGATCCCTTACAGGAAATTGTCTGGGGCCTTTAAAAGACATTAAAGAAATAATGCTACTTTAAGCAAAACTTAGGAATTTTTTTCCCTGGTATTTTCCACCCTCTAACACACCCTGGTTTCTTTTAAAGACCCAGAAGCCTAAAAAGAAGATGCTATAAATTGGGAATATTCTTAAAAAGGCATTCA